GGATAGGAGGAGAGAAGAGAAGAATTATGGAATGGAATGAAATAGAACAGTGATGGCTAACCTATGACACGCGTGTCACTTGTGACACGCCGAGGCACTTTGACTGACACGCCTGTTGGTGTGGGGAAAACCTGCACATTTAGAGGCTGCCTGTGCTCTGCTCCAATCCCTGCTCCCTGCTTGTTGCGTGGAGGCGTGGTGTCACCGCTGCCGCAAGATCTTTGCAGCAGAGAACCAGTTTTAACCGCCATAAACTGAGGTTTGTCAGTTTCATTACCTCAGGAACGCTACAGAGGAAAGGAGATCCATGAGGTTCACAGCCTTGTAAGGTGGCCTTCCGATCCCCACATCCTGCACCTGCAGCCCTGAGACCAGGGAGACGAGTTTCACAGCCCTGTGTGATCACCCCAGCCCAGTCCGTCATAAACCAAATTATTGATATTTCTTGAAGTGACACACGACCCGAGGAAGGCTACACTTTTTCCCGATTTTTGACACACCAAGCTGAAAAGGTTAGCCATCACTGAAATAGAATATTGGAATGGAGGAGAGAAGAGAAGAGAAGAAATATGTAATGGAATAGAAAAGACCAGAGTAGAGTAGAATTGAATTGAATTGAATGAAGAATAGAATGAAGAATAGAATAGAAATAAGAACAGAACAGAATAGAATTAAGAATAGAAGAGAGCAGAACAGTATAGAACAGAAATGTTATTGTCACTTTAAATGTACACTTATCAGCATACATTAAAATGAAACGCCGTTGCATTCGGCTCTCAAAAGACAACCATTATGCATATACCCACAGACACACACCTATGCAACGGAGAGAAACACCACAGTCTAGTTCAGATGCGTACATGTACATGGCGAGAAAAACGAAATTCGCGAGTTTACCAGCCAGGCGGCCTAGGGAACAAAGCTGTTACACAGAATCTGGTAGCCCTGCTAGAAGTACTTGGAAACCTCCTCCCAGAGGGGAGCAACAGAAGCAGGCCGTGAAAAGTGTGTGTGTGATGGCGGGTGGTGGTGGTGAGAGTTTCTAACCTGTCTTGAACCGATGACCCCCTAGTCAGAAGTAAATTGCACCCCCAAAGTCTTCTTGGCTGTCTTTTGGTCTTGCTGCGATGTCCCTGCTGATAACGGACCCTTTCAAGATCTTGAAAGTTGGACAAGGACTTTGCATAGCTCAGAAAAGTACACACACAGGCGCACCCCACGTACACAGGGGCTTTGTTGATCCCTCTGCTTTTTCTGATATTTTTTACGGTAGGAAAAATGTTCTGGGTTTGGAGCCACGGCAGGCAAGAGTGACAAGAACGCGCTCTCTTCCCCCAAACGGATTTTTTTAGGTGCTTATACAGGCAGTCCTCGACTTACAGCCCCAACTGAGCCCAATTTTTTGTGTGTGTGTTTGTGGCTAAGCGAGACAGTTGTTCAGTTGGTTTTGTTCCCCGTTTTAGGACCTTTCTTGCCTTAGTTGTAAAAGGGAATGACTGCGGCCGTTAAGTTAGCAACATGGTTGTTAAGTGAATCCGGCTTCCTCATCGACTCTGCTGGTCACAAGAGGGGGATAACGTGACCCCAGGACGCTACAATGGTCACAATTACGAGTCATGTGCAAGGTTGACTCAGCCTTCCATCCTTCCCGGGATCGGTAAAATGAGGACCCAGATTGTTGGGGGCCATAGGCTGACTCTGTAAAACCACTTAGAGAGAGGTGCAAAGCACTGCAAAGCGGTATATAAGTCTAAGTGCTATTGCTATTGTAAGGATAACTTTGCCCACTGCCAGCAGTTCGATCCTGACCAGCTCAAGGTCGACTCAGCCTTCCATCCTTCCCAAGATCGGTAAATGAGATTTTACCAGATTTTTGGGGGCAAGAGGCTGACTCTGTAAACCGCTTGGCTGTAAAGCACTGCGTAGCAATACCTAAGTCTTAAGTGCTGCTGCTATTACTTTATGCACAAAAATGGAAGGGCGGTTTGATTCCCACAATGAAGGAATGGCTGCAAAAGTTGATGGAATTAGCAGAGATGGCTAAATTGGCTGTTGTGATTCAAAGAAAAAAAACAACACAATTTTGTTTCTACTTGGAAACTGCTTCTGGACTTTGGAGGAAAAATAAAACTTTGATTTGGGGTTTTACCAATTAGATAGGTTTGTAGTTAAATGCAGTGGTGAGATTCAATTTTTTTTTACTACCGGTTCTGTTGGCGTGGCTTGGTGGGCGTGGCAGGGGAAGGTTACTGTAAATTCCCCATTCCCTCCCCACCCCACTAACCTGCTTTCCAGCTCCATTCTCCTGTGCAGGGCAACAAAAGAAGACCCAGCCAATCAGCTGGGACTTGGGAGGCAGAGAATAGAAGGGGGCGGAGCCAGTCAGAGGCAGTATTTGCCGGTTCTCCGAACTACTCAAGATTTCCACTACTGGTTCTACAGAACTGGTCAGAACCTGCTGAATACCACCTCTGGACTATCCATTATCTGGGTTTTGTGTTGTTTTTTACTTGTTTTGGTGAATGTTTGACTCATTGCAAACGTAAGGCTTTACATCTTGATATCTATAAAAAGCTCAACTGCTATTTATTAAGCTGTGCATATCTTGCAAAAGAGGATTTGTCTTGGCAGGCTGAAAAAAATTATAAAATTTGAAATCTGTCATGCTTTGGAAATTAATTTCAAATAATTCTGAGGAGCAGCAGGGGGTGCTGTTGGTTTTCAGATGCAAATCCTTTTTATAAAAAAACAACAACTATTAACCTGCTCAGTTTTCTGAACATTTTTAAGACAAGCCCATGATTGCTAAGGCAAGTTAGGGCATATATATATATAGTTTGCAGTGGTAAACCGCAGTGTGAAGATTTGTATATACAGAATATTTTATTTGGTTGAATAGGCTCCATATTTATAAACTGTTCATTAAAAAATTAATAATATTGGCCACCGGCAGCAGAAGACTATTTCTGCTTTCAAGCAGCCAAATAAATTTTATTTTATTTTTTTCCCAATTTTAAATGTTTTTATTAAATTATAGAATAAAATACAAAATACGAAAGCAAATAATAGGACACAATGGAGAGGAACATTCCAACATTCATTTGAGATACCTTGATGCATTCTAGATAATATTTCCAGGGTTAAATACCAGTGATACTTATAAAACTTTTCTTTTAAATTATTGTTTAATGTGGATTTTAAACCTTTCGTCCATATACTGTATTTTTCCATTGTTCAAGCATCACATTATATCCAGAATTCTTTACCCACTGAATCATACAATGTTTTTACATGTTCACGCTTTCCAGATTCAGTTTCAGAAATGTTTTATAAAGCAATAATATATTCATCACTGCTGCACAGTATGATTTCCAATTAAAAAATATAATTTTAATTTCTATTCACAAATCTTACTGTTATTTGAAATCAAAAGTGAATGGATGGATTATTTGCAAGTTTTCCTAATAGTTCAAAACTCATATTATTGCAAATAGAAAATAGAGCACTTGAGTTTATTTTAATTTTTGTTTTATTTATTTGCTTAATTTGTATGCTTCCAAATCCAGAAAGCTCTTATGTGGCAATTAAAGGATGAGACAAAGCTACTTCGTAATGTTCATACGCAGTGACTCAAAGTATCTTTTTATCAAGACAAATGGATTATTTGAGATTTCTCTGTTACTGTTCTTTTTTTTATATAATTAATCTATTATTATTATTCTTGTTTTATTTCTCCAAGAAAAAAAAATAATGCAAGAAAGGATTTCCTAGCCATGTCCACCTTTGTCCATGTTCACCAGTAAAA